CTAAAATTATTCTCCTTATTAAAAAAAATATTAAATAATTTTTCACATGCATGTCGGAAAAATAGGTAAAGTGTGCGACGGTGGTGTGGATGGCAGGTGACAAGTTTGTAGGCATTACTTCTTGGCACAATTTCTGTATTACTGTCTTAAATAACTACATAATTTCACTTGGGGTTTTTCTTGTATAGCGTGATTAAGCCAAATCCAATTTTCAGCTAGCTTTTCGTTTTTTTTGTATGTTTTTGTTCTGTTTGTGTTTAAATAAGAAGCGGAAAATTTGTTTGCTGACTTTCAAGTGCTGTAATAACTGAAATTGACTGTTTTGACTACATTACTGCCAAGGTGCAATCACTTTTTGAAATTTTAATATTTTAAAAAAATTATAGCACCTTGACAACTACAACAAATAATAATAAAATGCGGTTCCTTATTTGAAATTTTTTTTCTGCAATTGTTTTATTCATTTTTGAACATTTTTTGACTCGTTTTTGTGTGACAATTAAAATTTTTTTCTTTTCTCATTTTTTATGGTTTATTAATATTAATTATAATATAGAGTGTTTACTATGTGTATGATGTTTGGATACATGCTTCTATTTTTATTTTTCGAACAAGTTTTTTTTCGTATAAATTGTTTTCGTCTTTGCAATAATGTTTATTTTTCAAAATTCAAGGTTAATTTTTATTATATTTAGATGGACACTTTTTGTTATTTTTTATTATGTAATTTGAGATTTTCTTATTAAATTTTTTTTGGTACTTTTGTGTTGAAGAAAATTTTTCACGTGTAGATCTAGTCGCAGATATGGACAATTAAAGATATTTATTAGAAAGATTGGACACGAATCCTCAATTTTAAAATCTAAGCTCAGTTCAAGAACCAAAGCTCAATTCAAGAACTAAAAATCAATTCAAGAACAAAAGCTCAATTCAAGAACCATAGCTCAATTCAAGAACCAAAGCTCAATTCAAGAACCAAAGCTCAATTCAAGAACCAAAGCTCAATTCAAGAACCAAAGCTCAATTCAAGAACCAATACTCAATTCTAGAACCAAAACTCAATTCAAGAACCAATACTCAATTCAAAAACCAAAGCTCAATTCAAGAACCAAAGCTCAATTCAAGAACCAAATCTAAATTCAAGAACCAAAGTTCAGTTAAAGAACCAAATCTCAATTCAAGAACCAAATCTCAATTCAAGAACCAAAGCTCAGTTCAAGAACCAAAGCTCAATTCAAGAACCAAAACCTCAATTCAAGAACCAAAGCTCAATTCAAGAACCAAAACCTCAATTCAAGAACCAAAGCTCAATTCAAGAACCAAAGCACAATTTCAAGAACCAAAGCTCAATTCAAGAACCAAAGCTCAATTCAAGAACCAAAGCACAATTTCAAGAATCAAAGTTCAATTCAAGAACCAAAGCTCAATTCAAGAACCAATACTTAATTCAAGAACCAAAGCTCAATTCAAGAACCAAATCTAAATTCAAGAACCAAAGTTCAGTTAAAGAACCAAATCTCAATTCAAGAACCAAATCTCAATTCAAGAACCATAGCTCAGTTCAAGAACCAAAGCTCAATTCAAGAACGAAAGCTCAATTCAAGAACCAAAGCTCAATTCAAGAACCAAAACCTCAATTCAAGAACCAAAGCTCAATTCAAGAACCAAAGCTCAATTCAAGAACCAAAGCTCAATTCAAGAACCAAAGCTCAATTCAAGAACCAAAACTCAATTCAAGAACCAATACTCAATTCAAAAACCAAAGCTCAATTCAAGAACCAAAGCTCAATTCAAGAACCAAATCTAAATTCAAGAACCAAAGTTCAGTTAAAGAACCAAATCTCAATTCAAGAACCAAAGCTCAATTCAAGAACCAAAGCTCAGTTCAAGAACCAAAGCTCAATTCAAGAACGAAAGCTCAATTCAAACACCAAATCTCAATTCAAGAACCAATACTTAATTCAAGAACCAAAGCTCAATTCAAAAACCAAAGCACAATTTCAAGAACCAAAGCTCAATTCAAGAACCAAAGCTCAATTCAAGAACCAAAGCACAATTTCAAGAACCAAAGCGCAATTCAAGAACCAAATCTCAATTCAAGAACCGAATCTCGATTCAAGAACCAAAACTCCCAAAGCTTAATTCAAGAACCAAAGCTCAATTCAAGAACCAAAGCTCAATTTCAAGATTCAAAGCTCAATTCAAGAACCAGATCTCAATTCAAGAACCAAAGCTCAGTTCAAGAACCGAAGCTTAATTCAAGAACCAAAGCACAATTTCAAGAACCAAAGCTCAATTCAAGAACCAATACTTAATTCAAGAACGAAAGCTCAATTCAAGAACCAAAGCTCAATTCAAGAACCAAATCTCAATTCAAGAACCGAATCTCGATTCAAGAACCAAAACTCAATTCAAGAACCAAAACTCCCAAAGCTCAATTCAAGAACCAAATCTCATTTCAGGAACCAAAGCTCAATTTAAGAACCATTGCTCAAACAAAGAACAAAGCTGATATAAAGAACCGTTTCATGATCTATCAGAATATCTTCCATTATACACACCTAGGACCAATAAATTTAATAATATTAGAAACCTTAAATTGGTCGAAAAATTATTACAAAATATTCACTGCATCTGTGTTTGTGACAATAAACGAATGGGACAATACACAAAATTCTAAATATAGTTTTTAGAATACTTTTACTGACTTTGACTCTATGTAATACAATTTATTTATTAATTCAACAAAACTTTGCGGATATGGTATCAAATTCAGCATAATGATGCAATTAAAAAATTTTAAAAATGAGCAAAAATGTGTGAAAAATTATTTTATTGACCCTTTGGGTATTAATGAGTATCCTTAATTTATTATAATTCATCGAATAAAATTTACTTTAAAATTAAACACACTCAATAGAAAATAACAACTTATTTTTTTTTTAAACATTTCTTTTCAATTTTATTGGAAAAACAACACATTTTATAAAACTGAGCAGCTCAGCTTCTACAACAGAAAAGCAGATTTTTTTATAAAAATTTAATCTAGTTGAGAACAAAAATTTTAAATCGAATTTTATTCATTGCAAAATGTGTCATTGTATTTTGTTCTGTGCTGTACTTTATTTTCTTTTTTATCAAAAATTCTCATTTTTTTTATTTCAAAAACACGCAAAATCTACAAGTTTCTTTATTTCTTCTAAATTTTCATTTGTTAATAAGTTTAAATGTGTTTTGCATCCTAACCTAGAAATTTTTCATCATTTTTGTCTTTCTGTGGGGTTATTTGAGGGATTTGAAAATATCTAGGGCTGGTTTCTAAAGCTAGCCGAAGTGCTTTACTCTTATCTAGATTATATTGTATTTATACTCGTTTCTACACTAGTATGCAATGGGTAGCCCTAGAAATAGATCTCTGATATAGAGACCCTATAAAGAACTTAATTTATAGCTCAAAAAAAACCTCAAATTCACCCCAAAAATTAACCAGAAGTATTTTATTCTCTTTTTTTTCATCAAATTTAAAGGTGTGAAAATTTTTTAAAATATATTTTTCAATATTGGATGGATTTTGATAGACAAAAATTATTTATTAGACCCAAAATATTGATTTTCTTGAACACCTGTGTCTAATTTTCATTTTTAAAAAATTATTTCAAATCTGTTTGAATATTGTCAATATAAATCGATATGAGGAAGTGGGGAATCAACAAATTTATTGATTTGGAAATGAAATTTATATTTTAGAAGAATTTGTTGACAATTTAGCATGGGCATAGTCAGAGAGCCTGAATCATTAATTATAAAAATTAAACAATATACAAATTAAAAATAAAACTTTAATACCGCGCAATTAATGAATATTATTGAATTTTAATAAAACAAATTTCATTTAATATTTTTGCAATTTTTTTCAAATTTAAAAATTTTTCACATCTCATTTGGAATGCATTAATTAATGGTCACCATCACTTCCGTTGCTACTTTATTGTTCATTGTAGTTTTTGAACTTTTAATAATAACTATTCATTATTTTTTAATATCTCTTTTTTAAAAAATCAAAAAAATCTTTAACTTTTCTCTAATTTTCTTTATTTTTGAAATTCTCATTAATTTGATTCCATTTGCTTATTTAAATTTGTATCTTTAAGGTATGCAGTATATGAGTATATGAATTCTTTACGTAGATTCGACAAAAATGTATATTTTTGAGAAGATTGCAATCTAATCGATTGGAAGGTTTATTAAAAGATCTTTTTTTAAAAGGTAATTTTTAAAAACTTTATCATTATTTTAATAAAATTTCTAGATTTTCTCAACAATCCATTCAAAAGAGTTGAAAAAATTTAAAACTTACAAAACTTTAAAATTTCGAAGTTTTTGAAATCACAAATTCTTTAAAATTTCAAAATATTTTAAATTTAAGATTTTTTAAATTTTCAAAATTTTTGAAATTTAAGATTGTTTTAAAATTTCAAAATTTTTGAATCAAAAACTTTAAATGTTTTTAAAATTTAATCTCATAAAAATTTATCCTTTTAAAGTTTAAATTTTTAAAAAAGTAAAATTCATTTTTCAAACAATAAATCTTTCAAAAACCCTCCAATTATTTTTATTTTTTAACTTTTTCTTTCCCATTCTTTTTTAAACTCAATAAATGAGTAATAATCTTTAAATTTTCATCTCTCTATTAATAATAATGGCAAGTATAAATGTTTTTCTTTAAATTTTATATTATCTCATCATCATAATCATAACTACAATTATTATCATTGTGCTGTGTCTGTGTAAATAAGTGCTTAATAATTATACAATATATATGCAAATTATTAGAATTAAGATATATAGAGAGAGAGAGAGAGAAAAGAAAGGAGATATTTGCAGTTCCTTAATTCTTTATCAATTTTTTTCAAATATTTTCTATAAATTTTTTATTTCATTTATGCTTGCATGAAAAATAATTATTATTTTGAGAATTTAAGCAAAAAAAATAAATTTTTTTAGAAGTGTTGCTCACTACCTAAACTGTTTGCTGCTATAGCTAGATTACCAGTGGATTCGCCAGTTGGAAGTGGACTCTGTGGATATTAATTTTAAGAAAATTTTGTTTTTTTCTGCAATTTTTTTATATACAAACAAAGTTCAACAAAAGAGAACACAAAGGCTGATTAAAATTAAAATCCGATCAAATTATAAATTATTTTGGTAGACAAATGAAAAATTTATTAAAAAATCTACAAAAAAGGTCCAAAAAAGGGAAAAATAGAAAAAAAATTAAGAAAAGAGAGAAAATTCGGTCAGTAAAATTTTCTACAAAACATTCAAAATTGAGGATGAATCTTATGGATTATTAATTAGAGCTGGATTGTTACATGGATGTTGCTTGACTTTGGCGCAAATTAGACTCCTAATTGGCATCATGTAGGTTCTATGCCACATTATTCTTCTCTTCTTGGACCCCGTCCACTGTCCCCCTTCCCCACCCCGCTCTATTTCTAGATTAGATAAAAAATCTTTGCAATCTCTTAAAAACAAATAAATTCTAACTCCAAACCTCATTTAAGCGTAGTTGGTGATTTTTCCTAAATCTAAGCTATATCGCTTTGGATGAAACTCAAATGATCATAAACTTATGACAAATTTATGGACTTGATTAAGTATCATCAAAAAATTAAACTGAATTCATGAAGTAAGTTGAACCTCAAATGTTAATCAATTCACAAAACTCACAAAAACGTTATTAATTACCCGATGGAACCAGCTCTATTAATCCAATGAAACCTTTTATTTTCATCCCAACAACAAACAATCAACATCAAAACCAAAATATAAACTATTCAAAAATTTGTCAAAAATATAAAAATCCAACTTTAAAAAAAACCACACAGAAATGCTTTACTCCAGTGATGGTCAACCTATGTGCCGCAGTAATCCCACAAACCATACGCCATGTGTGGTTTCGGTTATGGCTTAGCATCAAGGTGTGCACAAAACAGGTTGTCCACCACTGCTCTACTCAATAATCAACTTACAAAAAAATATTCATAAATGAATAAACCAAAATTGAACTTAAAGGTAGTAAAGTAAAATAGAATATTTTCTCTCAATAAAACGTATAAAGATATTCTTCCTACAAGAAAAAATCATAAAAATAATTAAAAGAAGAAAGAAAAGGAAAGAAAAATTATAAAAATAAATAGAAAAAAATAAATTTTTTTAATTTTCTTGTGATTTTTTTCTTTTTTCATTCAAATTTAAAATTAATTTAAAAGCAAAAGCTTTAAAAGCTCAAATTATCGTATATTTTTATTTAAAATGCCAAGAAAATTTTAGCTGAGGAACGTGATAATTGGAAGGTTTGAAGATGATGTTTGGTATTTAATCAGGCTGAGTTTTAATGTTACAGCTTCTAAAGTTAAGGTGAAAGTTGCATCAATAAAACAATGATAACATTAAAAGTAGATTAATAGTTTAAGTTGACATTCTGCCAAACTTCGTGACAACCCTCAATAGCTCAGTCGTAAGAGGATATGACTTGTGCTGAAAACAGTGCGGGTTTGATTCCCACTCATAGTCAATTGTTGAAAAAAATTACTTTTTCTGTTAAATAAGCAAATGACAGTTCTTGGGATGTCCAAATCTAGTTCTAATAATGTCAGACAACAGTATTATCCTATGATTGAAGCCAAAAAGAGTCACAAAGAGCTTGTCTCTTACGCTGAAGTATTTTGAAATTAAAGGTTAGAATTCCCTTGGAATATTTTAAGCTTTAATGTGCAGTATTTTTTAAGACGCATCGTTTTCTCGAATTGAGAACTTTAAAATAAGTTGTATGAAGGGCCTAGCCTTTCGAGCTAGAAATATTGCAAGTCGATTTGAAATAACGAATCTAAACCCCAACGGATTTTTTAACCTTTAACAAAACCAGACAAATTGCCAATTTCAATAAATTATTTCTAAGTTTGGTTTTTAAAAGTTTTTAAAGTTTTTTTTTAAATTTTTTCAAGCATTTAAAAATTGGGTTTCGTCATATTTCACAATAATCATCTCCAAACCTTTCCATTTTTCATATCCCTCAGCTCAGCAAATTGTTACCAAGAATATTCATCAAATTTATAAATTTTTTGCATCATTTTGCATATAATGTTTTTAAAAATCTTGATTAATCATGCGAATAATGAATAAGTAAAAAATAAAATATTATCTAAATCTAATGTGTGAGATATGGAAGTACAACAGTAGAAGAGTAGAATTTTAGGGATATAGGAGGAGAAGTATATAGGCAAAAAATATTTGTTTCTCATTTTTAAAACTCGTTGATGTTTACCTGACTTGGTGGCGTTATTGGAACCGGATGTTCAATATTCTTCAAATATTCTTTGTCATCAAAGATTTTCTTGTCACCACCGCCTGGCCTATGCTTCATATTATCTAATGATCCAATTTTCGGTTCTGCCTTTACTTCGATCTTTTGATTCATAATCTGAAAAAAATTGAAAAGAAAATTTGTTGAAATTTTTTGACTTAATAAATTAAGGAAATTTCCATCACAAAAACTTTTTGAAATGCTGCAAAAATTTTGTCGTGCAAAAAATGTTTTTGATTGTGCTCAAAACTATTCAAAAATGACACAAGTGCGATGTGAAATTTCAAATAATGTGCAAAGAATTAATTTTAATGCTCAATTATGCTGAAGTTCTTTGAGTGCTGAATTTGAAAACAAAATGTCTTAAAAAAACAAACTTCCGTTCTTTCACCAACTTTTGCTTTAAAAATTTTGTTTCAAGTTTTCATGCTTTTTCAACTTTTTTTTTTACTTACGCTCGATTTTGCTCGTTCTTCACGTGCCTTAAATTATATGAATTTTTCATATGTTAAAGTTATGAATAAAATACTAAATGATTATTAAATATTTTATTATAATAAATTATGAGAAATGATGAATGTTATTGTGTCATATGATGCAAATTTGGATATTAGAAATTGTTTTAAGGAGTTTTGGACTAACTTGGCAGGAGCACTAAGTAGCTTTGAAAAGTTTTTAATAGTAACTCAAAAACGATTAGTTGAATGGTTGATTTTAACACTTTTTATGGACAATTATTTATGAAATTTTAGATAAATTTAAGATTATTTAGCTTTTTAGGCACATCATTGGAAGCCGTCGGGTATATGTATTGGATTATCAAAATGAGTAAAATTTGAAACATTTTCTCAACAAAATTATGAAATGAGATCTTAAAACACACAGAATGTAACTCAGCAATCAAATGACACTCAATGACCCCAAAGAAAGAATCATGAATTTTTGGTTGAGCACCTTAAATTAATCTATCCTTATGTCACTGTGAATATTGTTAGACTGAAAAATTTGAACATTTTTACTCTATTTAAGATTTTATTCCTGTTTTAATGGATTATATTGCAAATGCTATGAGCTGATTCGTTATGGAACGAGACTGCACAAAATTAAAGGTACATCTGGGTTTAGTTTAGGCAACATAACCAAATCATAGATCATTCCAGTGATATTGGTAGAGTGAACGAAGAATAGCACACTGAATATGACTTTACTCTATATTGTTTATAAATAATTCAAAATCATCAATAGATGCAAATACGAAAGTTAATTATAAGCATCAATGTATTCGTTTACGTTGGACATGATTCAAGTTATCAACTATGTTTATCATATGACACAATAATTATTAAAACAAAGGTTATCATAACAAATGAGATAATAACGTATAAATGTAAACAGAAGCGCTTGAAAGTAGAAGCAGTAATTCTCAGCCAAAATTATTAAAATTAAATTTTTCAAGACGACAATTTAGAAGAAAATTTACAAATCTAGCAAGATTGTCATCATCATAGCTTTACATCATGCACGCATCAAGAAAAAAATGATCAAATCAAATAAAAAAAAATATCAGCTCTCATCTACGAACATGCTTCTTTTAAACTTTTTAATCAATGTTAGTTTACAAATGAATTTTTTTAAGCATAAAGTAGTTTTTGGCATTGACTTTTCAAATTTTATTTCATGCTAATTAGGCATAAACAATATTCAATTGTTTAATTCTTCTTATTATGTTATTTTCATATGCATTATGGCAAATGAGTCAATTTATGGCATGAATTGAGATTTCATAATAATTTTACTTACTTTAACATCTCCTCCACCTGCAGAAAAAAGAAGGAAATTAAAGAATTAAAGAAATTAACATCCGCTCATGTCACATGAAATAATCCAATTAATCATACCTGGCACGTATCCCAAATTGTCTTTTGATCCCACTTTTGGTTTCGCCTTTTCCTTGAAATCTGTTTTAATCTCAACGATGCGCTTGTCGCCTCCACCTTTATATCGAAAGTTATTTTTTCAATGGAAATTAAAGTCAATTAATTAATTCATATCAAGAACAGACTTTTCATGCACGTACCTGGCTTATGAGCAGCATTTTCTAAAGAACCAATTTTTGATTTTGCATTCCATTGTAGTTTCTGGCTGACAATCTTGAAAATGAAGAAGAAAAAAATAAATAAAAATTTATAGCAAATTTCATGTGATTGACATGCCCACATTTTTGTGTTCTTATTTGCAATAAATCTCGTCATGAGTTGACTTATTCATGCGTAACGCGCTTCATTGCAATGATTTTTATTTTTGTGGATTGAAGGTACAATTTATGAGTGAATTGTGATTTGGGGATTATTGGCAGTTTCAATTGATTTATTGGAGTTTCGTTGAGATTTCAAGAGTTTTTTTCGAAAGTTTGATAGAATTTGAAGAACTTTGAACAATAATTTCAACCAAAAACATTGAAAATTTCACAATACATCCTCAACAACAGCCGAAAGCCATAAAATTAAGTTCCAACTTACTATAATCAAATTAAATATTACATTTCCAAATTAAACTGTTATACTCAAATAAATAGCATCATAATGTTAATATTCGGAGTAAACCTGAACTCGTGATGTACTCGTGTCTTTGCAATGTGCAGAGCTTGCAAGTGGTTTGGATCCCACTATAAACTGTAGGTCTAAAGGGTGTGGTACAATAGATTCTGTTCTAATTTGAATCGCAGTGCCTCCAGCTGAAAGGCTGGGCCCTTCACACATTATTAAACCTGAACTCGTAAAATGATTTAAAGACTTAATCAACATGAAAATTCATTAATACTATTCAGGGGCTCGTTCTAGGGCTACACAAAGGACAACTATAGTCGCAGCTATTTTTAATCTACACAAATAAAATGAAGAGATGAAGACCAAAGAACACCTGGATTGGATGTGTTGATATGGACGCTAGAGTCCTTAATATCCAGAACTTGCAGAAGGTCTCGAAGGAAAGACGATCTCTGAACGTGCAATGGGCCTACGTGCACCGCAGCAAAGAAAATAAATAAGAAAGTAATAAAATGATGAGCATCGATAATCGATACTATAAAAGAAATTCTCAACAATCAGCTTAGAACGACGCAAAGTTGATAAATCACAAATCCCATGCTGCATTATCCACTCATAAGATTTTTAAGGATGTTTATTGATTCCTTACCTTTTTATCGCCGCCTCGAGGTGTATAGGTGTCGTTCTTTGCTTCAATTCTCGAGCCTGCTTTGAAATCCAATTTCTTTGACTCAATTTTGATCTGCCCACCACCTAGGAAAGATAAAGAATTTAAACAGTTTAGAAATATTTCAACAATTTTGTACAAAGGCTTATCATGTCAATTTTCGTATCTACATCCATAAAATAATGATAAATTATGGAAAATATTTGTAAACTGTAAAATTTTATCGAAACAAAAGCTTTGCTCATGTTTACATAACTTCTGGATACAGAAGTTTCTTGGAACTGAATAGCTATCACAATTAAAGCCACATTGTGCAGAATAAGCGAATAATTCGGATAAAGAACTGTTCGAAGACGAAAACTTAACACAGTTGGGCTCTTTCTGATGTTATTCGACTTCAAAATATGCCACATGGCTGGATTTAAGCCACTCAATGGTTATCCGTCGGATAATTCCGATTATTCCACAAACTAACCACTGCGTTGTCACTCCCAAAGACATTATTCAACTGCGAAAAAAAATTCAAACTCACCTGGTTTGTGCTGTGCATTTTCTAAAGATCCAATTTTGGATGTAACCTTCTTGAGGTTTGGTGATGGTGTATTGCCAACTTCAATTCTGTTCATTGGAATTTCTGTCGATCACAAAAGCAATTCACATTGTTCATAAATTTTATCACTCAAAAAAATCAGTCAAACTTTACAACATACTTTTAATTAGAGGCTCTGGATGTTCCTCTGGACTAACTTTCAGTGATAGTCGTTGCTTAGAAGTGCTTCTCGATCTAGTTTTTGGTGTAATACTTGCTGGACGTGTTTGATAACTTGGAATTTTTGTCGGTGATTTCAATGGTGAATTTGGAGAATGTCCATTTTTATCCTGAGGGAATATATGTGTTATAAGATTACATTTATAGGTGGAATTAGATTTTTTTGAGGAGGATGTTTATGAATTTGAAGATTCAGTCTTAATTTGAATTTTTGTGTTTCACAAAAATTAGGGGTTTCTTCATCATAGCACACTAGTGTCAGTTTCTTAGGGTTGTTCTAGTCATATTCTCTAGTATGGAACTACTATAGATAGTCTTTACTTCAGAAACTAGTTCCTGAAATGCTTGTCGTCATTCAAGATTATTTTTTTAATTTTTTAAAACTAATTCCAATTTGAATTTGAGAGATTTTAAGTAAAAGTTTTGAGGATTGCAATTCATTTGGCACCGATTACATATTTAAACCATCAAAATGAAGAGACTCAAAATTTCCACTCAAAAAGTCTCAGAAAATTTAGAAAAAATTCCAAAAATTTCGCACCTTAGTTCCAAAAACTTTGTATTAAAATTTAGAATTTCCAAAAAAAATTATTTCAGAACCTTTTTAATCTTTTTAAAAGAAAATTTCACTTCTTTTTTCGGTTCTTTGGATTTTCTCTTTCTATGAGTTTCTTTAAGCATTTAAAATGACAAATCGTAAGCAATCACGACAACTTTCTGTGCTTGATAGTTTTATTATTTTTTTGGGGTATAATTTTTGTGACTTGCTCGATCAATAAATGCAAATAAACTGAAAAAATTATCTTCTATCCAATAATAATAAGATCATAAAAAATTCATTCTTTCTTTCTCGATCATTTATGGTGGAGGAATCGAGCAGTTGAGTGACTAGCTTTTTGGAATTATAGTCATAAAGGCAAGATTCTATTAATTGATTGAGTGGTTGGTCTTGAATGGGAATTGAACTTGAGTCCTCAGAAGTTCCTAAGCACTTAATCTAATACTTATTCACTGAGCCATTGAGACCTCTATATTATACTGACTGAATCTCATACATAAAACTTAATAATTCAACCTAACCCTGCCAAAAAATCAAGTTCCTAGATCTATTCCAAAACAACACAGACAATTGATGGATGTTCCTCAAAAAAAAATTTTCAACCACACCCGATATTTTTATGTGTGCCTTTGCGACGCAAGTAAATTAAGTAAAATAATTCAAGCGTCAAATTACACTCAAAAATATTTTTCTTCTACTTTTCGATATACAAAAAATAAGATAGTCTTGAAGATCACTTTTTTTTGTTGATGTGATGAATGTCAAATGCAGACTGAATGAGCCGAAAAAGAAAAAATTATTATTTCACTCACCTTCTCTTGTGTGCTCTCATCTACACCACTATCGTTATCACCTTCTAAAAAAAATTGTGAAAATAAATAAAAAATAAACATTGTTGTTAATGTGCAATCTAGTTGTAGAAATTATATATAAGGAGTCGTTTGGATGTTATGTAGCTTTATGGTGGTCAAGAGTTTTTTTTTGCGATAATAAAACTATGCAACAAGGGACTCAAAGTCGGAACCTAGATAGTTTAACACTTGCACTATTCCACTACTTGCTGGAAATATAGCACTTGCTGTTCTGTGTAGAAAAGACAAATAATCAAGGTATTCTCAATGTAATACAGACTTGGTATCGATTTCGGACCATAAAGGTATCCCACGCTATAGTTATTCACCTATTTAGCTTACAAGACATTAATAGACCAACTTTTCTCCTCTTTCTTCATCATCAACTGCTACACAATATCCAAACAACCCCCTTCATGATAAGATATCTCCAAAAAATTATTTCATTGTATGATAAACTCGTTGTTGCTATTGCTGCAAACATAAATCGATTACATTATGTTTTAATGTTCGTAAATCGGACGATAAAAAACGAATACAATAAAGATAAAAGAATTAACGAGAAATTTTCGTATCATTTAGTGACCGACATTTAAATATGAAAAACGTTTTTTTTTATTCACACGTAAATAAAATTTGTTGAATTTTATTTTTATTTGCACGGCGCAAATTTGCATGCTGATTTGTGACTTGTTTATTGTTTGCTAAAGTTAAATATGAAAGGATTTGTTGGAAATGTTAAGAAGAAGTGTCTAGATTCTTCTGGATAAAGTTCGTAGAATTTAATGGAAATGTTCAAATTCACACCCCTTATTTTCACCACCTTTTCACACCCCTTTTCCTACTCCTTTTTCCTACCCCTTATTCCCACCCCTTGTACCCAAACTTACTATAAGGTCGATTATCCTTTATTCCAACTTTCACACTCGAATTTTTACTCAAATCCAAATCAATAGATTTCTTTTTTTCGTCAACAAAATTTTTCACATTCTCATGTTCGACTCTCTTTTCAGGCACTTTCTGTGGAGCAGCAGCAGCACCAATTAAATTAGGCTTCATAAATGGTAAATGATCTTGAATAGTCGGTTGAATGTGACCATCTTGATTAGATCGATGTACATTTTGTTGTGCGTGTGGCTGATTTTGTTGCTTGCTATTTTGTCGAGGCATTTGTACAGGTGGTGGAGACGGTTGATGTTGTTGCTGTACAGGAGGAGGTGGAGGCATTTTTGGTCGATGCATATCCTCTGGTGATTGACGTTGATGTGCAGACGGTGGCAGAACATTACTCATTGGACGTTGACCCCTATCATAATCATTCATGTCACGCATATAATCATTGTGTTGTCGATTGCTATCAGCTTGTGAAGGCGGTCGATAAGGCTGTTGCTGTGGTGGATTCGGTGACATTCTCTGTTCAGGTGAGACTGATTGATTCGATCCCAAAGCTGATTGTGGTCGGGAAGGAATTGATTGGACACTTTCACGTCGTTTCATGTCTGCTGGCTGTTGATGATGCACTTGTTGAGGAACTGGAACTTGAACTGGCTGTTGGACAGGAACTGGTTGTTGGACAGAAACTGGCTGTTGTACAGGATTTGTTTGTTGGATTGGAACCGTTTGTTGGATTGGAACCGTTTGTTGAATTGGAACTGTTTGTGGAACTTGCTGCGGTCTCATTTGTGGCTGAACATTTTCTTTGCCACTCATTGGTCTCGTGTCAAATGTCTCGACTGGTTTTTGTCCATTTTTATTAGTCTGTGGAGTTGTCATTCGTCCCACAACAACATCGTCATCATCATCATCCATTGATAATGAATGTGGCTCATTGTTATTGTTATTATTATTTGTAGCTGTCGTGAATGTTTTTTCTCGATTTATTTCAGCCATCATGTTTGTTTGTGGATGTGACTGTGGCTGATTTTGATATTGAGGATTTCTTTGATGCTGAATCTTCTGTTCAGGTACAACAGCTGGTCTCGACTGAGGATTCTGACGATATTGTGGCTGTTGAAGTGGCTGTTGCTGTTCCAAAGACGATTGATTTACAAATGTCTGTCTAGGTGGCTGTTGATAGCCTTGTTGCACACCAGTAGGTGGCGTGGGACGATATTGTTGTGGCTGCTGTTGTCCTTGTTGTGATTGTATATGTGATGGTGGTAAATTGCGAATATTTGATTGCTGTTGTGGATGTTGTGGCTGTTGATTAATCAATGGTCTAATGTTTGGAACTAATGGAGGTCTAATTCCAGCTGGTTGATTTGGAAAATTTGATTGCGATTGCGGTTGCTGACCAGTTGATGGTAATCGATAACTTTGTTGTTGTTGTGGCTGTTGCTGATAATTAGGCGCTTGTTGGATATTTTGTTTATTAATGTTCGACGGATTTTGTGGACGGATATTTTGATGTTGTCCAGTGACTCCTTGATTTGGATTTTTCGGTATTCCCGGGTCAGGTTGAGAACGTGTCTATTTGATTTTATGTGTTTTGGATTATTGAATTCTTTTGTTATTTGATTAAAAATTTATAGCATAAAATCGATCTATAGATATATGTGCAAACTTGATGAATATTTTAAGGCATGGAAATGTTTTCTGACATACAATATCTCAATTATTTACAGGAAATTTACAAGAAGCTTTTAAATAGATTGACTTGGAATTTACTAAGGAACAGTCATGCTAGTGAATTAAGAATCATCAACATGTAAGTATTTTACAGTTTGCAAGTCGATTCATGCCAGAGTTTCCACTCCTTTAAAATATTTTCTCATAGTATAATATGTATTGCGTGATTGAAGCTAATTACAAGCTTTAAAACAAAATGTGCTGAACACTTTATGAAAATTAAAGATTCTTATAGCTAAGGTTGAAGTTGCTATTTGGATTGACTGTTGTAAACGATCTTTTTACAGTTAGGAGCTTTTTTGAAATCTTCTATGACTTGAGATAGTCAAAAGCAAGATGACTGCAAGTATTGTTTTTGATGACATCTATCTCAATTCAAGAGGAGGATACCACGAGTAGTCGTAGAAACCGGTTCGACTATGATCTTAACCTTTGAGACTTAGTCATTATAAGACATTGGCTAATAATGTCAAGTTTAAAGCCAATATCTCGATGTCTGAGCCTTGAACTAGCTTGTCACTAAGTACTAAAACACATTTATAAGCTTTAAAGTTAAACATCAAATAATTCATACCACAAAAATTTGGTGGTATTTACTATAAATTTATCCAAACAGCAACCCTAACCTTCAAATCTAATCAAAAAAAATTTAATGTTCCATAAAAATAATTTATGTCGTCCATTATAGACAATATTAATTAAAAATGAAGAGAAAAAAAATATTTGTCGAACTATTAATTTTAGCAAATTGAGCTGAATAAAAAATGTTGTTTAAGGATCATTAACTGCGATTGTTTCTGAATTGAGTAATATAATAAAGTTGTATGCATGTTAGAGTTTGGAATAAGATGTATGAATGTAAAAAAAATTCAGTCGAGAATTTTTAAAGCTGTTTTTTTTATGTGATTTTGAAAAGTTTCGAGTGTAAAGTTGAAAAATTATTGGAAATAAAATTTTACTGTGGATTTTTGAAATGAAAAATTGAAGAATTATTTCATACAAAAATACTAATTGCAGTAATAGCCAAACTAATGACGCTAACCTCAAAATCCCATTAAAGCCTGAACTAGATTCTATTTAAAAAATTTAACTCTAATCGATACGCATCAATTAATGATTTTGAACAAAACAAATAGCCTTGGAAAGTTCCTCAACCTTACTCATGATAAATGATCAAAATTGCATTTCTTCTTTCTCTGCCATTAATTAACTATTCAAACTTAATCCGTCAATAGAATTTCCTAAGCTTTTAGGCCATTCAACCATAAATTCAATAATAGGCTTTTTTCTATAAGTTATTAACAGCAACAAAGAGTTTTCAAACAATGCAAACTACTAAAGAAGTCAAATTAGTATTCTAAATGATAGTTTACTGCATTGATATTAATATTATATGGTAGAATAATTAATTGCATGTCATGCTATTGACACCATGTTTTGTAAGCTATTCGCTGAATCATTTAGCAACAATATTATAGAATATATTAGGTGAAATACCATAAATATGTAGGCTAATTTTTAAGGTCAATCACTTATGACTTGAGGATCAAAAATGCATCGTTTTTGAATTTAAGTAGCAGTCATCAGCTGATTAATTTCCTACAAAACTCTTTTTTTTTTGTTCCAAAATGAAATACCTAAAGTAATTAACATTTCAAGAAGTTCAGGAACTTTCTCCAATTTTTCACCCAAAACTTTATCCACAAACCCGATCGGCACAAATTGAAATTCATTGACCGCTATTGACCCGGCTATCGGGTGGCAAACATTTCAATATGTGCTGATCGGAAAACATTTCATTTCCAGCAATTTATCAACTTAAAAAAATATTCTCAAGCTTCTCAAAAAAAGCTCTGATTTTTCAACTCTATAAAATCAAAATGAAAAAAACCAATTAAATCAACTGGTTCCGTTATAAATAAACCAAGTTGTTGTACATGGAATAAAAAGTGTTTCAATTATTATTGCTCTCAAGAGTCCTCACAGTTCCAATTATCGAGAGCAAATTAGAAGCGGATAAATAAAGAAGTATAAAATTTTGAAAAAATGCCAAAAAGTTTCATCTTACCGTTAATGGATCCATTTTTTATTTCAATTTAATTTTTATTGATTTTATTTATTCAAAAAAATTAAGTTCAATAAACTTCCTACGATGAAATTGATTTTATGCCTAATTCAAATAATTTCTTTTTAGATTCCTTTTTTTTCAATAATGTTTAATTAATCGATTGATATCGATGTAGAGGATATTAAATTACAAATGTGCTAAACTAATGTCTACAATTATTATCATCGTAAATTTATCAACATTTATTACATTCAGACAGTGCACACACGAAATAAATTAAACTCATACACAACATTGCAGTCGGTAATAAAATTATTTTATATTTTATGATTCCCGCACAATAAGCACAGAACAAAACACAAAAAGATCCTTGCTTGAGCTTTTTTATTTTCTATCCCACTTGTGCCGCTTGAATATTTCACACTGAATATTTTTTAATGCATTAAATGAGCAGGTTTAAGCTACAAATATGCATTCTCATGTTTATGAAAATGATGATGGCAGAAGTGAGCTTGCTTGTTAAATGACTATTATTATCTGAAAATTGAAAGCACACTATTTCCGTTATTTCATTCAATTTTTGATGTGAGGATGTAGATTAGGTTGGTGACTATTTTATGGACATATTTTATGAGTTGAAAACTGTTATTTTTGATAGAATTAATTTTATTTGTAAACTGTGAAATCATGCATTTATTCAAGCTTTAAGAGTAACTTTAATTTTTTCCAGATGTATCTCCTTTGTACACGTCACTACACCGAATAGCACAAATCGGTTAATCGAGTGGAAATTCGGCTCTGATCCAGCGTGACTCTGGCGTGGTGCTGGATTCACATCGAATCTAGCACTATTCCAGAGTTACGTCAGATTTCTATTCAATTATCCGATTATGTGTTTACGGATAAATCAACCTCTAAACCTCCTGACTCCCTTTAAAGCTTCATTCTTTACTTTTAAAACTTCATCCTTTTTACTATGTAAAATAACTTATATTTAATTTATATTGTCTACAACCTAAGAATAGCTCAGAATAGCTAAGTTAAGGTAACCAAAGAACTTATCAAAAGAGTTAAGTAAGAAATTGGTGATTGGCAAGCATTAGCCAGGGAAAGAGACAGATCCATGTGATGTACATAAAGGTTTTGATTTGGCATCTAACAAAGCTTTAGATATCAGCTCTTAAGCTCTTTAAGATGATCAAAAAATTGAGTTTTTTTCTAAAATTTTCATTTCAAGGAAAGGCTCTATAAGGCATAAGATACTACAATAATCAAGAAGCTTTTAAAATAGCTAATTATGAAGATAAATTTAAAGTATTTTTGTACTATGTTGAACATCTGTGAAGTTGAGTTGCAAAGCGATTGATCAAATGTCACTTAAGTTTGAGATTAAAGTTCAAATCCTTCAACATTTCAAAAGAAGAGTTTACTCTGCATCATCTATCAACAAAAAATATCCTCAGCCATTTAAAAGTCCATAAATCAAGTCACCAACCTACATAATATTTTAATTTAAATTAGACATTCCCGAGTAACACAAGTCGAATAATCGAGATAAAATCCTACTCCTGAATGCTACTTTGGGGTGAATTTTTCGTATGACAAGAAATTTGTCCTCAATTTGTCCCCGCGTCATCTTAGCGTATGATTTCGTCTCGACTATCCGACTTGTGCTATTCGGGATTACAACTGAATATAATTTTCCACCCTGTCTGATTTTATCAAGCTTTTTCACATTCCATAAACTTTTTGTAAAATCCAAAAAAAATATCCGCAACAAACTTTTTTCCGCTTCACAGCTTATTTAACACTGAAAATTACAACAAGCTGCACAAAATAAATAAATTTTAATCTTTTTTCGCGCGCAAAATTTATTTCGGTTATCAGAATTTTTCCAACCACTCCGGTGTGCTTTCAAAGTAAATCTGTGCTACTCACACAGTTCATGAAAAGAAAAAAAAAATAAAGTTTTTCCATCCAAACAAAATTATTAATGCATACTAGCTTTTTTCGTGGTTTTGGAGAGTCCCCATTGATCAAGCATAATTTGGCATGAAAAGGCAAGCTTTATTAACTGAACAGAAAGAGGCAATGCGATGTTATGACCTATTTTGGAAAGCAAAAAAAAATATGATAAAATAAGTATAATATAATGCTTTTCAATATGTTTGATCAATGCCTGAATGTGGATGGAAAGGAATATAAACTATTTATTTATTACTTTCTTTTCGGTTCTTCTTCTTTTTATTCGGTTTAGGCAAATTTTTCGTTACTCTGTGGAAATGAGCATGAATTTTGGAATGGAATTGTGTTGTCTGAAGATGGGTTAGTAGGTTGACTTGTAACTTGGCTAGATTTAGTAAAGAGGGGAGAAGTTGATAAAAGTTTTTGGGAATTTCTGTATTTTTAATAGATTGATGTCATTTTTATTGAGTTTTTGAATTTTATGTGATTTTAAGGATCAATTTTGATTAAGAGACTTTTGTTCCTTACTTCCTTTATTACACAGGTTCTTACAGGATTGAATAAAGTAAAGAAAAGTAGCAATGTTTAGAAAGGGAGCTTCGACACGGTTTCATAGGCATTCAATCCAATTCAACAACACATTTTAATGCTAAAACAATAATTGAATATGTATGAAAGATAGCCATATTAAAGTAAGGATATGGAAAGCCAGGTTGGATAGATTTCCAAAAGTTTAGATGATCCTAGTTCAATTCTCATCAAATCTGGCTTGATTTAAGACTAGAAGTGGTCGAAATCAACGGTAATTTTTCAAAAAAAAAACAAAAGATTTCCTGGAATTTTTATTGATTTTTTCTTGCTGAACTCCCCCCCCCCCCCCCCCCCTCCCTTGGACGTCAAAAATAACTCTTATGGAAATTTTGCTTTAAATCATAAAAACTTTAGCAATATAAAATTAATATTCACTAAAACCTCCAAAAAATCGCCTTATCCACACACCTATCCTTCAAACTCACCAACTTATTCTTTCTTTATTTATATTCTTCATTCTCCTATCAAGTGATAGCTATTATGTCAAACAATCATGTCGTTGTCGTCGGCTTTGACTTATCGTTGGAATGAAATATTCGCAAACAGCCTATTTGCATGAAAGAAGAAGCTCATTTGGCATTGAAAAAAAATAGAAAGACGGAAAATAGAAGAGGAACCGATAACAAATGTATTTTAAAATGAATTTTCGTTCCATTACAATTTTGGCAATGAGAAAATGGCGGAAAATTTTAATGATGTGAAGACTTTAAGGTGTGATTTTTGTGGAAAAGTCGTTAAAAAGTCTTGTTTTGTTTAAAATTAAAGTGTTTTTCGTGACTGAAGATGTGAATTGTTTTATATTATTGTTTTGTAGCTTTTGAGATTCGAAATAAGTTTCAGTAAGTTTCCTGATTGCAAAACTATAGGTTATCATAGCTAATCTTAGTCAACATATAGTTAAAGCTAGTTTTATACAATATAATGCTAAAATCTTCAAAAATAACCATTAATTTAGTCGCAGACATCAAAATATATGGTTTTACTCAAATTCTTGTAAAATTACTAATCCATAAAGTCAAAATAGACCCAAAAATTGTTTCGTCAATATAATCCTATTACCCAAAACTTTTTTACAGCTTTACAGCAAACACGAGGATCACCATCAATCAAAATGTGATAAAAATAATCACGAAACTAAAAATAATAATATTCAACTGTCTATAATTAAAAGCAGCTATAATAACAGTTACCAAGCCATAGTCTGCTGTATATTCTTAGAATTTTCCCAAAGCAACATTTTTCAAGAAAAGTATAAATTTACACGCTATTACGTTTTGGAAATTTGACTATTCTCTGTGTCACAAGCTATGGATTTATATTTTTATTCAATCATTATGCATCGATTTATACAGAATAGAGAAAGTTTTGTCTTTATTTATATCCTTCTATTTTCGTTCTTTATTCAAAATGAAAATTAATGCAACATCCAATTAGCAAAAGAAAGGAAAATGAGCAACAAGAAGAAATTGAACATTTGAATGCAAATTGGTTAAGGGAGTAAATTCAGTGTTAATGTATAGGAAGGGTAGGTGGATAGTTGATATAATAGAGTGTATTACGTGGAACTTTTGTTCTAGAATGTTCAGGATTTGTGAGAATTGATATTAAGTTAATCAAGATCTTCATCCAAGATCTTGTCTCGAATACTTTGAACCTTTAATCCGTTTGTGAACTCTCAATATTGTAAAGATAGAAACTCAGACATTGCAGACTCAAGGATAAAATGAAACTCAACTCTTGTCACAGTTTGATCTTCAAGCCATGCTTGAAATAGTCGTCTAGGTACTGATACATCATCAGACAAATGAAGGGCATTTTCTGACAAATCCTTCAATATTCTATAAAAAAAAACTTTACCATATTAACTTCGTAACTTGATTATTGCAATATTATCCTAATCTAGTAAAGTCTCTCATGCGTTTGATGCCTGCAACCCTTTTCCTCAATTCCATTTGTTGAGTCACTAAATTCTCTTTAGAAAAAAATTCAATAAATGCCTTCAAAATGTCGAAAATCGAAAGCCACTCATTAACATAAAGGAAATGTCAACACCTTGAAATTTCTTGCCTTCATTTTTATCCAATCCTTCCTTTCCTTAAAGCAACGACACAGAATTATTTCATTTCTTCTATTTTTTTGCAAGTCAACAAAAAAATAAGTTTTTCAAGGTTTTCATGACAGAAAAAGAAAAGAAATAGAAATGTCATAAATTTAATGCTTTACTTATGCCTTCAATAAGAGACATATAAAGTCATACGACCAACAAAAATCAGGCATATGTTGGCATTTGCTGAAAACATGGAAATTTACAAGCCAAATTAATTTTTTTGAATTTCAATATATTGAGCATATCCACGTATGATTGCCTAGGCATCTAATTTAAATCAGACAGCTAGCAAGGGACACAACGATATTCCTAACTTTCACAAACAAAACTTTTACTTTTCTTTAGTTTCACTCTTTTTTGTTGAGTCTAATAATGTCTAATGTTTTATTCCTATTTAGCAAGATAACACGCATGATTTA